CAGATTTTGTGACGGTGTGTGACATGGGGGAGGGAGGTGTCCGAGGTCAAAAAGTGGCCTAAATCGCGTGACGTAATATGTGGACGACCCCTTATTAAGCGACTAATATCACACAGGCCCCAAAAATACAGAACATTTTAACACTTATCAAAGCAATGTTTGTTAAATCCATAACGGTTACTTTTTTTACAGTTACACATGTTACTTTTGTATCTTGTTAAGTGTCATGCTAGGCGTTCTCGGTTATCGGTTTTTACATTAACGATTAACAAAACGTTATGAGGTGCTTATAGTTACGGACCCCTGCCCTGCCCTTAAGATATGTTCGACCGATTCTAATCTGAATCTACAATTTTCCATTTTTCTGGGTGTAGGGGAAGAATTTATTCACACACGGTTGTATCACAGATATGTACTCTGGAAGCCCAATTGTGCATACATACCAGGTGACCAGGCGCCGCGCACTTTCGTAGTTATACTGTACCTCATGCACCTGCGGGCGGGTTTTCCTGCACTTTAAATCCAACAGTGTACATCATAGCACACTCTGCCTTGTGTGTAAATGAAAACACACTAAGAAGTGTGAACATGCGTGGCAAACACCTCCAAGCATGTATCACGCATGTACAGACTTCCTAGTGTGTGCCATGTCAGGCACATACTTCCGTGTGTGCTTTCAAGTACACACGAGGAGTATACTATGTACACTAGGGTGTAGTGTACTCGGTCGACTTTTGAATTTAAAAAAAACGGGTCCCCATCACTTCAAGCCATTTTCGATGTAGTTTCCGGAACCGACCTTGTTTTTTCGATGAGACAAAGCCTTCAGGTACCTACCTCGCCTCAAAGTTGAGAAATTTCACTTTTTTGCACTAAAATCGAATATTTTGGGTGAAAAATATTTCAAAGCAGTGGAGAGAGGCTTCATGAGTGGCATATGTCTCTAATACATCTAAAAAAAGTTTTCCACCTGTGACCGGCCATTGGACGACCGTTTGAGGCCGTTTTTACGGCGACATTTGTACCAAATTACTTTAAAAACGCTAAAAATCTTTATTAAATCCGGCTCCGGGGCCAGGATACGGGTCCTGGGCAGTCCCGGGGTGGTCTTACGGATTGGCTGTAACCACCAGAAGGTAAAACAGGAGTGGGCGAATTTTCCAAAGCTGTGGGAGGTGTGTAGATAGGGCAAGAACCGGGCGGCATGTCGGGAAACAGATGAGGCGCCGTGTGTGCATGGCAGTGCATAGTCATTTGGGAGAGGGTTAGGTTGTGCAGGTCTTAGCTTAACAAAGCCTAGTGCTTTGCCAACCCAGGGCTCACCACGAGGAGGTGCCTGCACTTCGAGCCCCGCCCACCCACCCACCCGGGCA